GCCAATCAAACGCTGCTTCAACGATCCAACACTTTTTGATGCGTAGTTACCTCGTAGTTAAATTGAAACGCAACCTTTCACTTGCTTCAGCTGGGTGACAGCTACGCGCCGTCGTGCCAGCTCTCCCTGCACCAGCGATGGCCTCATCGACTCTCATCGAAACACAGCAATCAGAAACAAACAAGCGCTGACCAACTCGGAAGTGCGCTTTGTCGGGTTCTGCAATCTGTCCAAGCTGCTCGTCGGCTCGTTGTACGTCGCCAAGACCCAGGGCGCCAGAGTCTGACTCCCCCCATGCCTGAAGTTCAGACGAAGGACTCGAGGAGCGCAACACATGAAGATGGCCCGATGGCCCTCATAGGGGCATTCTGAGATTGCCGAGAGCGGAAGTAGGAGCGGTCTCATGCCCACCGAGCCCGATGCAAGCAACTCCCCGCGGGCGGTGAGCACGGCACAGAACCCGCCGCCGCAGGCTACTGACACGACCTGACGAAGCGCGCAATTCGCAGGCCCGATGCACATTCTGCTTCGTCCGAGTGCGTCCGAGTGTGGCACAAGCGTGGCGTGCAAACTCGGCCTAGCCGCACAAAGGAGACGCAGAACGGCCACGTCCGCCTCATTCTGCCTCCCTGCGTTTCTGGCCTCTGCCTCCAATCTGGGCATGCCAGGGGGCGGCTGCCTTCGGAGCCATCGCCCCCGTCCGCATACCAGGCCTCTCCAAGTCAACCCAGTGCTGAGCAACTCTGGAATGCAAAGTTGGGCCTGCGACGAGAAAACATCTCCACTGTCCATGAGTGCCACGGCAGCGATGCGGCTTCCACCTGTCCTTCCAAGACAAGAGCAGCAGAATGCCGATTCCGACCACTCTCTCTCAAACTTCAGAAGCACACATAAGAAAGCACCTTCTTTAGCCCTCCGCCAGCGCTCCTCTCGCACCCTGCACCCCTGTATAAGTCATGCCCTGCGACCCTTCGCCACAAAACATCCAAAACGGTTCGGCAGACAGCGGCAGCGTGGCCACCTTCCATGCCCGAATCCCAGAGCCTAAGCATCAAGAGTGCTGCTCAGAGAAGTCTCCTCCTATAACATCTTACGAGTCTATCCTTCCTACTCCATCTTCGAATCTATTCGGAGCAGATGCCGAGAGTGAGGCTACATCTCGCAGCTGCAGCTTCTGTCCAGCCTCTGTCTCTCAAGCGGCCGAACTATCAGTCGGCGGCCTGGCGAGATTTATGCCTCGTCCTTCAACACCGTCAGCGACCACTCCATGGCGAAGCCACGTGCCTCAGCGAACTTCGGGTTCCCCCAACCACAAACGGCCTGCACTGGGGACGGGTCCACTGTGCCGGTCTTGTTGCTGGCGGCCACCCAACGATGGACATCGCCCTGAGCCCGGGCGCTTGCACGGGCGAGGCTTAGCCACTTAGGGCCCAGAACCTCGGGAGTGATGCCAAGGCAGCCATCGTCTCCTCCAGCGAGGGAGGTAAATCCAGGCCTTGCGGCTAGACGCGACTCCATGCGACTCCGTGTTTTCTTGCATCTGTGACCAACTTCCCAAGTGCTTCACGCACCCGGGATCTCTGTGGGGGTCGTCACGCAGCTCCATTCCTGTAAGCCTCCATCACGGTGACTGAGATCAGAGTGGTTGGATTCGCCATCATAGCTTCAAGCAACTTTTGTTTTTCAACATCAGATGTGCTCAGCCAGCTGCCCTGGACGTCTTCCTGCGAGAGGTTGGAAGTTTTTTCCAAGTCTGTGTGCAGCAGAGCCGGCTCCTCCGATGGATCGCTCTGGGAAGGCCTTCCGAGACTTGCGATGGCCCGCATAGCATTGATGCACGATCAGGCTTGCGGCAGAGCCTCTGCGGAAGCAGCCCAAAAGCGAATGTCTTCAGTGTGTAGTCCAAAGCCTGATACAGTGAAGAGCAAAGACGTTCTAATTTCACGTGCTCCTTCCACGAAGCAGCCGAAGCACGAAGTCTTTTCCCGGCGTTCTGTGGTCTGACGGGCGCTGTGCCATGTGCGACAAGGCACCAAGCACAAGGACTTTAATCGATTTACACTTTGACGGTAATGAGCTCCGAATCGGGAGTTGCTGTCGTTGTAGCCTCACAGAACTTTCAGCAACAAGCCCCTCAGCCTCTCTCCTAGCCTCTGCAAAACCGGCTGCCAACTCTGAGCTTGAGGCCGATCCAATAATCGCCGCGCTGGGTGCGGCACCAGATGTTCGCAACTCGGACACCTTTCCCACCGAATTCACGTGTGGATGGCTTCCATGTCAATTAGCCTTTTCCATCTTCTTCTTTATACGGCATTTTGAGGTTTCAGGGGCACCCTTGCTTCCGAAGGGCACAGGCTTCCGCCTTCGCCCCAGGGACCGCGGCCAGCAAACCACCAGACGTCTGAGGATCGAAAAGCATCAAGTACTCGATGCGGCCTCGAACCTCCGTCCGTGCTTGCTCTCGTGCTTTTGTCATTTGTGGGCTTTCTTGCTTTTTTTGGCAGTTACAGGGAGTCATGGGTGGACTACGCCAAAGTTTCTCAGCCTGCCTCCTCGTGGTTCGCGACTGCTCTGCGGAGTCTGACATTGGCAGGCTGAAGCGAGCTCTCGATCCCCATCTTGAGACAATCGAGGGCTCCATCATACACTGGAATCTTCGACAGCTCCAGTGAAGCCTGCATGCCGGACTGCCGGCACATTTCCTCAGTTGAGTCACCGGGGGCACGGGCCAGGACACTACCACAAGAGAGTTACAAAGACAAAGGCCACAGCGTACCACATGAAGACCGAAAATCGACAAGGTGGCCGATGAGACCGAAGCCGGTGATGTCAGTACATGCCAAGGCGCCATGAGCCCTGAGACATGTTGCAGCCTCCCTGTTGGATGTTTCCATGCTTTTCAATGCTTTGGTGATCCATGGACCCCTCGCTTTCGCGCGCATGTCAGCAGCAAAAAGAGTACCCGTCCCCAAAGGCTTCGTCAGGATTAGCACATCCCCAGCCCTCATGGCCACTTTGGTCATTGCCGTTGTGCTGCCACCGGGCAAGCGCCCAGAAATAGCGAAGCCCAATCCCAACTCTCGGGACTCGCACGTGTGCCCACCAACAAGGGCACAATTTACCCTTTTCAGCGCAGAAGCTGCCCCGGCCATGAGCTGCACCAAGTCCTCCTCCTGCTTGTCTTCCGAAGCGAAAGGAACCTGAACTAATGCCATGGCAGTCTGCGGAATAGCACCCATCGCCTCACAATCGCTGAGAGCGTGCACAGCCGCAATGCGTCCGAATTGGTATGGATCTCCAATAAAGCTGCGGAAAAAGTCTATCGTCTGAACCGATGACACTTTACCTCCACCATCTGTGGTTAGATCCACGACTGCGGCATCGTCGCCGGTTCCAATGACCACCTCTGCCTGCAGAGGGCCGGATAGGATGCAAAGATTGGCTTGCAAGCTTAAGCCCTACGCCTACGCTGGACTCACAGGCAGGGGAGATGAAGATGACCCGTGCAGAAAACCCACATGCACTGCAGTTCCATGCCTTTGCATCCCCTGGCTGCTTGGGAAAATCCACTCGAGACATGGCTCTCTCCAGTGTGGTGGCACCCACCTTTGCTCCGCAACCGCCGCAGCGCATGATTGAATGCTTGAGCAGGTCAGCCGCTGCTCCTCCGGCTTTGGCCACTGCAAGGCCCGCCGGGCTGAAGGCATCGAGAGATGCCGGCATTTCCGGTAGGCCCTCGAAGTAATTCCACATCCAACGCCTGTCGATCCAGTCCTTCAGCCCCCACAACCAAGCCCCTTCAGTTGCCAGGGTTCCCCTGGATGCAATGCAGGTCCCATCGCCCAAGTTTAGGAGTCCCAGGAAGGAGTGTTGTGGCCAGTAAGTCACCAACTTCTCGCTGGTCAGGCTGGCTCGGATGTTTATCCAGAGAACCATGCCGGCCATGACTGCAAAAACGCCTGCCTGCGATGTGCGGATTCACGCCTACAACACAAGCCCACAACCGAGTGAAGATTGAGGGCTTTGCGAGGTCTGGGGCTGGGCCTTGAACGTGACACTAAACGGGCCTGCCTTCGGCCGTGGGTGACCTTCCACGGATGCAATATCCCCACCTGCAAAGACGTGGCCGATGTCGAGCGTCGCATCTTTGGGCCTGCACCTCATCTGCTGATCCACTAACAGAAAGCCATCTTTGTCGGTGCAAAGCCCGCATGAAGCGACCCAGCTCTGTGGAGAGCCTTGCGTACACCAGATGCAATCATCGTACTTCAGAGTTTTACCATCGCTGCAGTGTAGTACCCCGGCTTCGGCATGAGTCACGTCGTAGCCCGTGTAGACTTCGATACCTCGCTGCTTCAAGGCCTTCTCGGCCAGGCAGCGTGCACCGGCCGTGTGCTGCGGTAAGAGCCCGCTCCGCGTCACAAGACCAACGGTGATTCGGGCTGTGCTGTTTAAACGTTTAAGCTCGCTGGTCAACCGGGCACGCATGGTGGCAGCCAGCTCAAACCCACCGGCACCTCCACCGACCACCAGCAGGCGGCGCGAGCCTGTCCAGGAAGGCACTCTTGCCAACAAGTCATCCCAGCGAGCACCAAAGCCATCGATTGGCTTTACTGGAGTTATGCCTTCCGTGGAGGCATCTACTTGGACCCTCGGAGCCGATCCGATATTTATGGACAGTACGTCATAAGCAATGGGGGGCCGGTCTCCTTCCAGATTCACATGCTTCTTCTGAAGATCTATGCTCACGGCTGTGGCATGAACCAGCCGAACTCTTCCAAAGCGTGCTAGAACATTCAGGTCCAGGTGACACTCACGGCGCGTGTACAAGCCGGCCACATGTGCGGGCAGCATACCGCTGTACGGGGTTTCCACGTCCCGTGTCACCAGCGTCACGCGCACTCCAGGCAAGGGCTCCATACCGAGCATTCGCAGAACGTTCACATGGGAGTGGCCTCCACCCACGAGGACGAGATCCTTCAGAATGGGCGTCGCCTCCCAATCCTGGTGTAAGCGGAAACCTACTGTGGAATCCTGAAAGATCCGCGCACTGCGATGAAGCGCCTCTCGCACTATATCTTGGTCTTCACCACGGAAAACGAGGCCAGGCAAGTGCTGCATGTGATGGGTACCCGTCGTCTTGCCCCAGCCATTCTCGCCGTTAGCAGTACGCCTCGCAGCATCGATCTGGTGAAATCTCTCAAGGGCCAGGATGGCCCGCAGCTCTGCGACTCGTCGAAACCTCTCCCAAATGCTCAGGGAGAGCGTCCCGTCCTCGGCCGAGGGAACGAATATGCGCCGGATTCCATCTTGCCAAAGGATCTGAGCAAGCACCCACTCGGCCCAGAGGGGTGCCCAGGGCTTTGAAACTTCACGACGGATCCAGAGGAAGCTGACTAAACTTCCGACACCAAGGGCAATGGCTTTCCAGTGCTCTGTCCATGGCGAGTGCAGCGAAAGCATGACAGAGATGCTATTATCTGCGCTTCTTTCTCCAATATAGTCCGCAGTTTTACTGGAAGGATATAAAGCTGTCAAAGTGGATCAGAATTGCGCAGCAAGGCCACTACACATTCGCCTTAGGGCTGGGAGTTTGCCGTGGTATGCAGAGTACTGCGGAGTGTGGACACAGCCCCATAACCCAACAAAAATCCTACACAGCCTCACCACCCGCGGTGTAGCTCTGAAGCTTTAGCACGATCGCTCTCGGCATGGGCCTGGTTCGCCTCTGACATCCCACCTGCCATGACTCTGCTGACTGATGGCGCAAGATTCACGTGTGTGGACGCATCGAAGGGTGTTTGGTTGAAGGCACAAACACTGTGCCACAGCATGGTGCATTGCCAAAATGCTGACACTGCGCCTGTTCAGCAGCTGTGCACCACACTGCGATTGCATCTCGCACCTGCGACGTCCACGATCTGAGACAGCCAGCTGCAAATACCCTGCTTGAGCTGCTGCAGTAGACAACAGACAACTGTCACTGCTAAACTACGCACAGATGCCACATGCCACAAGTCGCTGGCAAAGATATTGCATAGGCCTCGATGCTTCGATGTGCACGCCACATGAGACAAGGGATGTCTACATGCTCAAGCAGGCAGTGAGCATACCGAAGCAGAGACGACTTTCAAGAGGCAAGTCCTTGTGAATGGTGTCGGGGCTACGAGAGCCAGCTTCTCAGCTTAGGTGTCGTTGCGTTCTGGCGGAAGCCCGACCTTCTTCTTTAGTATATAAGCATGGGCCAAAGTCAGTAGGGCATGTCCTCGTGCTGCATGTATGCACCAACTTAATGCTGGAGCAATCAAACAGCTTCAGAGACATAGGCCTTTGACCGTGAACCTCCGTCAAGCGCGCCTATTGATCTCCATACTGCCTAAGGCCTCAGGCGCTTGAAACTGCCAACATACAATGATACAGTTGAACCTTGATGGGCACCAGTTGCCGGAGAAAAGCGTCCAGGGCGCTTCAACTACGTACTCAGCAACGGCCCTTCAGGCGCTGCGACATCCAACCAGGTTTGCAGGGAAGCACGCGCTGGACAGCGGCGGAGAGCAAATGACAGACCGGATGAATACAACTGTCTTAAGACCGTTCTTTCCCTCTGAGCGGACCCAATTGCGGCTTGCGTGAAACACGATCTTAACGGGATGCCTCGACCCGGCATGGAATGCTGCAAGCCGTGTCTGAAGACTCTGTTTGCTGTCACGTTGGTGGGGTCGAAGATTTGATGCCTTCCACAAAGCCACACAAGCATCCTTGTACAAGGCTGTGAAACCGCTTCCTCGTCAGTTTTTCATGGGCCCTGCTGACCCACGAACCGAACGAGGAATACAATAGGACGTGCAATTTATCGGTGAGATGCTCTTACTCTCTGCTAATAATATCAAGCAAAGATGCTGAAGCCCTGCATGTGCAAGTACGACAAGCTTGAACACTCCACGTACACTGCCATGGGTGCAAGGAGGCTTTTCGTAGAGCCAACTTCTAGAATCTGTACACTTGAGCGGCTACATACCCCACCATTTCCAGAACTCAACTCACTGGACTGCCTCGAAAGCCGCACTGACCTTGTTGAGATCAGTAGAACATGTCCAGCTCCTGGCCACGGTGGCAATCCCAACTTCCAGCATGACTGATCCAGTCAGCAGACCTTGACCCTCTTTCGCTTCTTACGCTTGCTGCAAAGCGTGCAACACTGCAGTCTTTGCTTGGAAGTTGTAAGCTGACCAAACAGGGCTTTGCGTGACTGCGATGCCGAACCAAGGATTGGCAAAAGATGTTTTCCCAGCCGGCCTTGTGCACCTGAGCTGAGTAGAGCACATAGACACTGTGAGACTCTGTGTATTCTGAAGATATGTTCACAGCCTGAGGCGCTGGCTTTCGAAGGCGTTGGGGCTGTGCTCAGCCCCGTGTATCTAGGCTTTGTGTCCACGAAACCCTGCGAAGAGGCATGATGAAACATACTTCCCTGCTTCAAACCGCTCGAGGAGCTCCAGCCTTAGTGAACTGATTGGTGCTGGGAAAGTAGCGGTCGGGGACCTGCTCTGGCACTTCAACAGCAGCGTGCACACAGCAAGACGAAGCCGTGGGCCGCCTGGTGATCCATAGGCATCTCGCTGCCGTATGCCTCCGAATTGAATGGACGCGCCCTTGGACATTCGAGACTCGAGAAGCGGCCTGTGCACTCGTAGCATAGAGCGGATTATTGGCACCTGAGCGACAGGTGATTTCGAGATACTCATGCTGCTATGCGCCTTTCACTCCTTCCACTCCGTGGCCTCGCTTTCCACTCGGCGGATAGCAGTAGTTCTGTGCCTTCAAGGGCCGCCCTTGAAGGCTGCACGGGCGTCTCACCGAACAGTCTGCTAGGGAGGGGCAACAGTCTGGCTCTTGCTGGAAACCCGACTTTTATAGGTCATCAGGAGGCAGTGATCGGGCCCTCAAGGGTGAAGAAGAAACATGAGCAATCCTGGTGCTGCAGGACAAGCCATGCTAGGAATCTCAAGGTGAGCAGATGGGACACAAACACGCAAGCATCTCGACTGCACCGTTGTGTCTAACAGTTCCGCCATCGTACCCTCCTGTCCGCCTGCACCGGGAATTTCTTTGGCACGACATCTGCCGAAAGAACCTTACAGACGTCAGATGCTGAAATTACCTCCAAGACCCAAAGCCGGTCGACGTCATGGCCTTGTCTGCTTCCATGGACCTCCTCTCTTCGGCAATCTGATTCGCCAGCACGCACTTTGCCTAGGTCAACACACTTTCAGCTGCAAAGATGTCTAAGGAAGGGTTAGGAGAGCTGCCGTGGTCTGGATCGGCCGCACCTTGGGATATGCAGGAGACTGACACCGATGTTCTGTGCTGCACACTCCGGAGAGCTGTTACACCAGCAGCTTGGACAAGGCAGCTTGGACAAGGACCGGCTTCTTGATTGTTGGCCGAGCACCAAGAATATCGCTGATGGCTGGCACATCGCCCAACTGGCCGAGTGCTTGGACAAAAGACATGGGACAGTCTGCAGGACAATGGTAATGCTCCCGTCGGCCTGGTGTCCTGGAAGTCCATTGTGCCAATTTCCGCAGTACTGCCCATTCGTCGTGGCGTAGAACCTATGTTTCGTAAGACTTCGGGCACGGTGCCCGAGCACGCATAAGACATAGACCAGGTCGGGAGGCATGTCCGCGTGACTTGGCTCAGGTGCGGTGATGATCATCGTTCCCTGCAGTGGCATGTTTTGCATGAGCCTCTCATGTATGTCATGAACAAACCGATGGTGGCAGCTGGAGACATACACAAGAGCCTTGGGCCCCATGGTCAGCCCGGAAGTGGCCATTTCCGGCTGTCTGTCCGGAGACGCGACGGCTGCTCTGTCATCTGCCATGGCCTCACGCAGAGCTACGTCCTGTCATGTGCCCTGGGCCTGACCCACACTCAGCCTCGAAGCGAAGGCGTCGAGGATGGCTTGAGCCGAAACAAGCGGCGACGAGCCGGTGCATGAGCGGAAACCTGCAGGAAACAGGCACGTCTTCACGAGAACTAAAAGGCAAGACATGATGCATGCCACGCCCCCTTCCCCACGACTTGAACTGCAGACGATTCCCGGACCACAGTGACCAGGCAGGACGACTGTGCCTATTTGCCTACTCAAACGTCGATCCAAGAGTTTCTGTCTTCAGGCGAGCGGCTCCTGCCGCACTCCGGCGGCAGAAGCCAAAACGAGAGCTCGATTGGAAGCACCGTTGCATGTGGCACGCTTTGGCAAAACGTACCACTGTTAAACTCCTCTCCTTCCTTCCGGCTTTGAGTGGGCTTTCCGCTCCGACTTCAGAGCAGCTCCAGGCTTTTTGAAGGCGTCGGCTCTCAGTCTCTGGTCTGTGCTCTGCTTCTCGGCATGCGACCGGTGCCGCAGCTCACGCTGCATCAGCACGTGTGGCTGACAGAGACTTCGAGAAGCAACGGGGCCGGTTCAAGCAACGCCGGCCCTGTATGACTTGAACTATGGCATGTGGAAAAGCTGTGGGGGGAGAGCAGGGGTGATCAGGTGCTCACACAGTGCTTGAGTTCAACTTGGCTCACACCCGAAAACCGGGTACTTCGGTGTAGCTGAAGGGCACCTGCAGCTTTCGACTGCTTCGGCAGAGACAACACATATCACAGCATGGCCTTCCTTCCCTTTTTGTAAGGTGAGAGGTTCTCAGCCACGTCGTCATAGCCTCGCAGGATGTACTCCTTGAAGGGATACACAACCTGAGCCAACTTGGCACTCCGAGCGCACTCTGCTCTATGCTCCGAGCCAGGAGGGCACAGTCGGTGAGGAAAGCATGTGAAAACAGCCGGGCATAGGGCATATTCCTTGAGCACTCGCCAGGCTGCCTTGAAGAACACCACCACATGCACCTTTTGTCTTCTCAGATCACTCGACACCACGGAATGTCCCCCGGCCCGGGCCCTGCCCTGCTGACTCAGCAGATGGCAGCGAGGAAGGCCAGGCAGTCCAAAGCGCTCCTCCAGCAGCTCGGCTCCGAGTCTCCCACCTCGAAGCGAGAGCGAAAGCGACTGGGCTTGCCACTTGACCTGCTCTCGGATTCAGGTAGCCTACCAATGTCTATTTACCGGGCCTTCTCTTCTGAAAAGCAAGGTCTGTGCAGATGATGGGCTACAGCACACTACGTCAGCTCCCCTGCATGTGCACCGCCTCAGCGTCTGGTGTCAGCGAAGCCTGCCACATCACTACATGCTTACGCTGCAGATGCGAAAGATCTCTTGCCTGCGGGCTGGCAGCTCTGCTCATGCTCCGCACTGAGGCTCAACCCTGGCAGCTTTTCTGCCGAGACATGTCAGCTGCCTGTCAACTGATGCTGTTGCCAAGTTTGGACTGGTGTGTTGCGAGGTGTCTAAGAGACAAATCATCCCAATGTTGACCTAGAAAGCCAATAAATTCTCAATTGTGGAGGGACACGAGGTTTGACACACCCCAGAGTGGATTACGACTTGCTGGTGATCCCTGTAAGGCGTGGACTGGCTTTTGATGGAACTGTGAGCCATGCCAGTGCGCAAATGATGCTTTTGCTTCGGCAGGACACCGAAAACAGGCAAAGCCTTACACTCTCTCAACAGGAACTGAAACACATGTCTCTTCATCCATGTGATGCTCATGCAGCAGGGGGAACTGGGGAAATCCAGGTGCTTCCGCAGCAGGCGAAGCAACACCTATGGAGGAAGCTATACCAATACAACGGTATGCACTGCAAACGGTGCTTGAGCGCAGGCGAACATGTTGTACTACAGGTGAAACACTGCTCCAAGCCGGGCTTGGGGAGCATCATGATCTGCACATGCTTTTCTCCGAATCAAACAACAAAGGGTCGCAACACCTCAGAACCTAGTGTCTAGTCACGAAATGGTCTGGTCGCATGCGCGCGCTGCCTCTGCCTTGCAGCAAAACCTCTATGGTCTCTGCCCGAAGCGATGTGAAAGCTGAAAGGCCCCTCACCGCTTGCAAGGGGCTATATCTGACAGGCGGTCCACCCAGAAGGTCATGAATCCACGCTCCCTCTGAGTGGAACCTTTGCACAACGGTCGGTAACGGTCGGTAACCGGTAACTCCTTGGGTAGGGTTTGGTCTAGTTGAATCATCGACGCCTACGTGCCTCCAAAGCGCATGGAACGCTGTGCTAGCTTGGAGTCAAATTAGGCACATGGAGTTCATGAGTCTTGTTGAATCTGCTTGCCTTACATTAACCTCCTTGAATCCGAACTCCACTGTACCATAGACTGGGTACGGTCCAGAGGCTCACTTCATGAGACCTTGCTGAAGGCCAGTTATCCAAGGGCTGGCTCGCCAACACCGTGCGAACGCAGGAACTTGGGAAGCTGCTGCCGATCCAGGAGCATGCAGGTGAGAAGGCCTCGCCGTCTTTTCATGCCCACGCACACAGCAGAACGCCTGAGGCATGACCGCATAGCATCGCATGACACAAGACCTCTGGCCTCGAGCAGGACACGGCACGATCAGGACCAAATCCGGAAACATCAGAGACGCCAAAAACACACGGCAGGAGGAGAGAATTGGCAGCTGCGCGTTGGCCACATTGGAGGATAAGACCCACCAGCGCGGATAGAAGCACCGAATAGGCGGATGACTATGCAAAACAGAGATTTGCACACAAGGCTGGTCAGGCTGCTCAGTCACAGGTAATACCAGTGGGGCAAAGAACGATTCACGCACGAGTATCGATGCGTACGCGGAGTAAGGATTGGCCGGAGGCTTGACAGTCCGAACTCTTTTGCTGGGGGTTGATGCCTTGAATGCCGGAGCCGGAGTCTGGCTTCTTTACGCATGTGCGTAGCTGTGCGCTGGACGTCTGCATTGGTCAGCGGGGGTTTACGAGAGCTCTCTTTTCCAAGTGCACGCCATTACGAAGGTCCGATTGCCCAACAACAAACATGATGCATATTCGCACTGCCACCGGTCCCCGCCTCAATACACGAAAGATGTCGTGTGTGCATTGTACGTTCCAGGGCCAGGCGTGACATAGCTGTCCAGGTCGTGGACCTAGGGCTTGATTCGCGTCAGGTATCTGTGTGAACCCAGTTTGCTTACAGAACAGACCCTTGCATAACACTGCAGAGGAGTGCATGGGCAGCTGAGGTCGGCGCCCGGCGTCTGGAGGCTGCAGAGTACTTCGGCCCGTTCTTGCCGACCGACATCGCGCTTTGCATGTCGTACCTCTCTGTAGCCAGAAGGCCCAACAAAACCCTTCGAGAAGGAAGCTTTGCAATGAAATCTCAGGGCGGGGAGACGCTCCAGGTCCAGGCAGCATCAGGCTTCTTGCAGCCCCCGTGATATCATTCCGTATCGAAGTGCCGAAGCCACACCTTCCAGGCAGCTGTGCCAAACAAAAGCATGACTCATATGATGCTACTTGGCATATACCGCATCTAAGGATCTGGCTTGGGAATCCCCATGAGCACAGCACCCAACTTGGGATCGTAGGCTCCAGGACCTGGCGGTAAGCCCGGCAACGTAAGCGATCGTCGCAACACCCACGATGGCAGAAATCATGCTACCGGCCCTCTTTCTTCGGCCTCCTCTCACGGCTTTGTCATTGCTGCTGCTGCTGCTACTGCTTCTGCGAATAGTAGCCGAAATCATCATCATCATCAACAACAACA